CCTTGTTAAGAATATATCCATTAAGGAAAATGAAGAAAGTTTCAAAATGTACCACAATCAAGTCAATATGAAAAGTCCATCTCATCCTCGAGATGATGAAAATCATGCCCATGCGGTACTCCACACACGGTGCTGAAATAAGACAAGTCCGTCGGATCACATTTGCCCTTATAGTCGGGCAGAATGTTGTGTCATCACTCTCTTCGCCGCTAATGGTGACTGCTTCCTTCTTCTACTTCTTGTCGGTGCCATTCTCTTTACCATCATCCCCGTCGTCGACAGCAACGTCAGCAGTTGTAGATTCGGATATCCAGCTGTTTCGGCTACCTGCTTCTTGTTTCTGTATAAGAGCAAATTGATGGCCTTCGAGTTTTTACTGGTCTTCACTTGACCTCGAAAAACGATACGCGTACAGTTTTCTGCTTCGTGTTCAAACCTCTCTGGGATTAATACAGACTTGGCGTGTTTCGGGATTTCATCGATAGCAGGCTTGACAAAGAATTCGTGTAATTGTACCCCATCACTGAGTATTACCTTTCCCGCCTCATCACTTTTAAAGCACAGTCTTGAGGCAGCTGACCCACACTAACACGATTTTCAACATCGCCGAACTTTGAAGCCTTGTAGGATTGCGCCAAATTCCATTCGAGGAGATTCGACGGACTTGAGCAGGGTTTCTTGTTAAAAGAATATTCGACTTTGCGTTGGGTTTTCCACATTTTTTCTGTTTTGAAGAATGTCCTTTCCTGAATAAAAACTACAATAAATCATTAACAAAATAAACAATTGAATATAAATGTAAAGATTGAAAACAAGTAACACAGTAATACAGAGATGTGAACACATTTCTAACATGACAAAAATCTTACGGAGACAATTCAACCAATCAACGTTAATTGATATGTAGACCATCTCGCCTGTCATTATCATGAGTTTATCCAAAAGAACTGACATACACAAGACATGCCTTATTGACTGCTTATTCTCTCGTTCAGACAGTAGCACATTGATAATATCAGGCATAAGTTTCTCTAGAAAAAAACATGGAAGCATGTCCATCTTGACCCTGTGAATATTATATCTCCTGCCTACCCGTATATTGCTCGACCTGACAAAAACTAGTTTTAGTTCTCTCCGTTTTAGTGCATGGGTGGATGCATATGATGGCTCATCAACTCCTAAGTGTTTTCTTTTACATTACAGGATACGCTTCGTGAGTCATCTGTTTTGAGAGGTTCTTAGTTTACAACGCTTTGTATGTTGAATAAAAATATTAATGGTTGAGAAAGATATGGAACATGAGTGACAAGTGAAAATGTCTATTGACTGCTGTGGATGTTGATAGTTGTGTTAGGCATGGTGTCTATAGTCACTGTACTTTGTCACTGTGCAATTTAACAAATGACAAAAAATAAATATATGAGTACATATATTTAAGAATTCAAGGAATATTAAGCATAGCTTACCTGTGAGTATTTTAAGCTGTTTCCAGGATAATCATCACTGACTGGAACCACACCGCCAGCAGAATACGTCAGAATAATTTCCTCCAACAAGAACCCCGTTAGAACTACTTTGTGCCCGACATCAGCAATTACCATCAAAATTCAGCAGTATTCTACGATGTGGCTCATGGTGGTGCTGTACTCCCGTGCCTAGCCTTGCTCCAAGGCTGTACAGCATGATTAGTCCGTGGATGTTTAGTAATTCTATCCTTACAATCGGCAAGGTTAGATAATCCGACAAGGACGTCAGTCTTTTCTAAGAACTTGTTTTTTATTATTTATATAATCAAGAATATATAATTTAAACTAATAATTCCTGAGAATGAGAGACTTGTGCCTTCCCGTGCCTTTTGCCGTTGTCATATAGTCTGTCATACAGATGCTGAACCAAATATATCCAATAAAGCCAATGCAAGTCTATAATATATGGCAAGTCTAGATTACTGCAGTATCAGGAATAGAGAAAGTCTCTTGGCTCCTTTTGATTATATTTTATAACTATATTTTAACAACTGTTTTAGTCTAGTTCTCCTACTAACTCACATGTTATTTGAGTGGAGAACACATAATAGTAATGGCATCGTATTACCCAAACATGCAATGCAGGAGAGCTAGTTTTGTGAAACGACGCAAAGTGCCCCAAAAATTGAATGAATCGGGACATTGTGTTGTTGTTGTTGTTGCTACACTGCAGTAATATTGCAGCTTAAGAGAGAAGGCAAAATGGTGACAACTATCTTGCATGTCACTTTCGAGCTGTTGAATGCGGTGTTAAATACAACTATTGAATATGGATCGTGCCCAAATGACTAAATAATTGGACCAAGTCTAAATGCCTGAGTAGCGTGACATTGTTTGAACGCACAGGTCAAACGGAGTTTAAGAGAAACTATTCCCCTTCTTGTGGATATTTCAGTCTAGACCCTGTACTACTTGACGTGTGAAATCTAGACTTTGTATACGTGTAATTAGGGTCATCAGGAAGTGTTAAGTTGATGTACATCAGAAAGTCGGAGACAAACTAAAGGAGGTTTCAATGACTTGTAGCAAATTTACTAAGATTGCATTTGGCCATAGCCTCGTGTAAGTTTAATTAAAGTATACAGAGGTGAAATTGGGTTTAACATCCGGTTCAGTATTATTGCACGGGTGGGTGTCTGTTTGTAATAGTCCAGACTAATGCCGATTTTGTAATGCTAGCCCACTGATATACCATGCCACAGTGTGAGACATGGATACCAGTCTGATGAATTATATTACCGGTATGTCAATTTGACACGCCAGGAGCTACATTTATGACACCTTTCTGAAGGCTTCCACGCTTTTGTCACATCTTGTTCACGTGGGGGCGATCGGGTAGTCATGTGGTAGCGTCCGCTCGTCACGCCGAAAACCCAGGTTCGATTCCCGACATGGGTACAATAATTGAAGCCCATTTCTGGTGTCCGCCGCCGTGATATTGCTGGAATATTGCTGAAAGCTGCGTAAAATCAAACTCACTCACTCACTCTTCTTCAGTCTACCTATAACGAATGCGTGTGCCAATATTTTCACATAGATTCTAGTCGTTGATAGTTTTCATGTGACATGTAAAGACATATTTCAGATTTTAACGCAAGATATGTTATGACCAATTAGTGAAGTGTCACCACACTATAGCTATTAGAGTTGAAATAGGTGAGGTGAAATGGGGTTTACTGTCATGTCCAAGAGTAGTGCCACATGCATGCACGTAAGTGTCTGCTTGTACTACTCCAACTAATGCCGATTTTATAGTGCTAGTCCACTGAGATACCATGCAGCAGTTTTAAGAGAAATACCCCACTGTGACACAGTATACCAACTACAAGCCGACCAGCCATTGTTTTAGCCCCTTAATGCCGAGTGTCAGGCTGGGTAACAAGAAGTACCATCTTTTAACGTCTTTTGATGTGACGCAGCAGGGGATCAAACCTGAGACCTTCCACTCTCCGGGACACTCTACCACTAGAGGTGGTTTTGAGTTGAAATAATATTCAATCTCATAATAATCAGATCTTAGTCCTCGCTTCTGCTAAGTTCTGCTTTGTTTAGCACTAGCCAGAACTAAGAACTGATTTTAATGAGATTGAATAATATTAGAAAAGAGACTTTACTATTTTCACTTCATATGGTCTTCGCAGTAAATTTCAGGGCAGCATCTCAGGGCGGGGAGTAAATGAGTGAGAGGACACTGCTTTAAACAGTAGTTCTGTTATGTCAGCTTCATGCCAGGGGAAAGTCCAAAATCTTATTTTGACCAAAACATGGATACATAGAACTTGTTGAAATAAAAACTGTAAAATATTTACACAATGCAAGAGACAGTGTTGCTGGTAAAACTATTTCATAAGCACCACACCATTACAGGGTCTCAGGTCACTTAATATATGTTGAAACTGACTGACTTTTACATCTTTACAGTAACAAGTATTCATTTCAAGGAAGCTGATAATAAATCTCTGCTTATAAATCACATTTCTCCATAAGCAGTGTATGGCTTGCTGCTTTATTATAACCCTGGTAAAGGGATCAGTGTGCACTCTATATTTCATTCTCAGCTCCCTGGGGAGTAGACAACCCAAGCTGCCTGTGTTGGGGCTAGAAGGTAAACAGTTACATTACCATCTCATCCTACCAGGTACTAATTCACTGCTTGGTGAACAGATGCACATCTTGAACAAAGTCACTTGCCAAAGGATACACTACATGTATGACATGTGCTTCAGTGTTGGGCAGGACCAGCAGAGAAACTCTCAGGGCCCCAGCGGCGAATATGGTCATCCATCCAAGGTTTGGTTCTCATTATACAGTGGCTAGATACTATACTGTGTTGAATCAATCATTATTCATTTTCCCGAGGCAAGAGAGTTAACTGACTATAAAAGTCCAGTTTCCACCCTTGCCAAACTAGGCTGGTATTATGGAGTAACATTTTGGCTGGACTAACAAGTTTTGGCATAGTCCAATCAAAATCATGCAATGGAATCGAAATCTGGTTCGTAAACTGTCATGCAGATTTCGGTGATTGCAGTATTTTTAAAGCATGTGCACCGCCAACTCGTTTTATCTTTTTATGTTTTTAATCAAGGTGCTCAAGTGATTTGATGCACTTCGCAATGTATGACCTGTTTTATTACAATGTAGATACTGAATATCTATCAGATTGTCTTTACTGGGCGCCGCCATTTTGTTTGAAGCAAATGCAAGTGATACGAGAGGTAGCATCTAATTGGTCCATAGGGGATGAATAAAAGGGACAACTCATAACAGCCACTAGTGGTGCCACGATCGAGTCCAGGAATTCCAGCCTAGTTCGGCTCGGGTAGAAACTGGACTTTTAAAGTCAGTTAACTCTCTTGCCTCAGGAAGGTGATCACTATTGAAATCATGGCCTTGTGTTCCCTTTTGGGTTTTCATGAGTACATATTCCAATAATCAATCATTTGTTATGGACAAAATGCAGACACACAAAAGAGAAACGGAGCATGTTTATTTGAATTTTTATATCATTTCAGTAAACCTATTCAACAATCAAAAATAATTTAATACCAACTAAACAGAAATAATGAAAATGACACCTTGTCAAAATAAACTGCAGACTTTACACACATGACCAGTTGTCATCGTAACAGTCATCAGTTATCAAACATATCACATGTACATTGTTATTTAAATCCAGTCTAGCCCTGCTAACAAGTAAACACAATGATTTTTGCAATAGAATGTATACAGTACTCATGACCACATAAACATTATAAACAGTAGACACATGTTCAACATGTTTACGTAACAGATGTCTAAGTGGGACAGTTTGTCTTTACATATTCAAGTAACCATGATAACTGTTAACATTGAGGTGGCACAAGTTCGTATTTTGATGTGGAGCCTCCCTGTGACATGACATGTTCAAAGAGTTCAACTGCAGTTCTCTTCCGGCTAACAATGATAAAGCGATTTGCATTGGATCCCCTGCTCCGAGTCTTCAGCCGGAACCTCTTTGCGTGCTGATGGATCAACGCTCTCTCCTCTTTAGTAAAGTCAGACGAGAACACCAAATCACCATAGTTATCAGATCTTGCATAATTCTCAACACACTTCCTAATTCGATTCATCGTGTCGCCAGACATCCCCTTTTCCTTTGAATGTCCAATCCCTGCCCGTTTGATTACCTGCTCTACCAAAACAGGCTCTGCCCGCCCAGTCCCATTCTTCCCGACCCCACCACCAACCCAGCCCATCTTCCGGAGCATCTTGTTACCGATATTACTATCAGGAATCTCACACTTGACCTTCTCAACATCACCTAACACCTCCTCCTTACTCAAACACAACTCATCAGAATCTGCAGCCTGCTTGAATTTTATCGTCCAGCACATTTCCTTTAATAAGTCAATAGCATTTTCACTTGCTTCATACTTGGCCAAAAGCTTTGTCTTAGCCGTACACTCAACCAATGGCTGGCCTTCAAGACTCACACGACATGACACACCATCTTTGTTCCGGACAAACTCAAACTCAAGCAACATCTTACTGAAATCTGCACTTTGCCTCAACAGTGCACCTGGATGCTGTACAGCCTTAGTATTCATAGTATCAGACACTAAAATAAACTCGTCCAAGCTTTTGGCGGAATCTCCTAACAGTGGTCTGTTTTTGCTGTTGTAACCTTTGATCCTTTGAGTATGAAGACCTCCAGCATTGGACTCATACCAGGTCTCCCCAGCCGGCAACATTGGTATCTCATCCACCTCAGGCTCCTCCAGTTCTTCCTCCTCCAGGAAAGGAGTTTCATAAGCATGTAGTTCCTTGGAGTCATCATCATTAAAAGAAATTGTGTGGTATGGTTTCAGAATCTCCTGAATCGCATTCTCGAATGCAGCTTTCTTTGCCAGCTTCTTGGTTCTGTCCACAGCAGAGGCAATGTGGATAAAGTCAATACTGACTTTGCATTCATACATAATGGCATCTCCAACCTCCTTGCCATCTATGCTAGACCGAACGGTCATCTTGACCTTGTGTATGACCATGTTCAATAAAGAAATTGGGTTAATCTCCACTGACTTTTTCTTGATCTCATGTCGAAGTCTAGCAAACGTTTGGTCATATTCATCAACATTATTATCAGGATCTGATTTCTTTTTCTTTTGGGGTTTCTTCTTGGCCAATGTTCGGTGTTCTTTCATTGTACAGTGGGGCTCCTGGATACTGGCTATATACTGAGATTGAGCTATGGCTTGTTGATCAGCTTGAATGTTAGTGCTCTTGTAGGCAGCCCCAGATTTGACAAATCCCATTTGAGATTCAATGCTAGACTGATGTAAACCAGATTTTAGTGATTCAATGACTCCCATCTCAGACCCTGCCAGGGGTTCTGTTACAATATCTGACAAGGATTTTTTTGCCTCTGGCTCTGTGTTATCTGAATCCGAAGCCTTCACAAAACCCATTGTTGCATATTTCATCTTAACTCTTTCTTTCTTTTGTTTTACCAGTTTGGGAAAATCCTTTGACAGCTCCTTCAGCTGGATCATGACTGGGTCGGGATAACTGCAGCCATCCATCTCCACATTGATAAAACACTTGGCCAGACAAACCAGCCGGGCTTCTGGGAATTTGTCATGGTGAGCTACGAGAAAGCGCCTTCTAAGTCTCCAAGCTAGAGCACATTCGTCCTGGTCTCGATATTTATCAACACGAAACACTGTTGGATCTAAAACAGGTGAAAGAAAAACTTTTAAGACATTAATCAAATAATATTGTCAATATATGACAGGCATGTATACACTTTTTACTGACAAAGGATCATAATTTAACAACAAAAGAAATTCAAACCCATGACCAGTTGATCCTGTTAAGGGAGACTACTCTGCACAGCAAGTTTGCTGCCTTAGTCATACACCCTAATTTTGAGAAGAACTGCATGAATAAAACCACAAATGGTTCTTGTCAGTAAATGGGTAATACATTATCATATCAACACATTCAAGTAACTGTCAATGTTGAGATGGTACGAATTGTATTAAAATATTAAAGTAATTGTTATTGTTGAACATGTTGAAGTGAGACAAGTTATTATTAAACATTAATGTGTTCAAGGAGCTATCATTGGAGTGGGACAACTTATTGTTAACATGTTCAAGGAACTGTTATCATGGTTAACATTCAAGTGGGACAAGTTATTATTACCATGATTACATGTACAAGGAACTGTTATCTTTGAAGTGGGATAAGTTACTATTAACATGTTCAAGGAACTGTTATCATGGTTAATTATCATTGAAGTGGGTCAGGTTATTATCATGATTATAAACATGTTCATAACACTGTTATCGTTGAATAGGGACAAGTCTGTATTGACAGACAGGTAGTAACCATGTTAACAAGTTCAAGTAATTGTTAATGTTGAAGTGGGACAAATTTGTATTGACATGTTCATGGAACTGTTAATGCTGAAGAGGGGCAAGTTGTCTTTACATATTCAAGTAACCATGGTACTGGTAGTTCGTATTTTGATGTGGGCCTCCCTGTGACATGACATCTTCGAAGAACCCACCTTCTGGCCGACTAAGGGTGAGGAAGCGATTTGCCTTTTTCCTGCTCCGACTCCTCAGGCCGAACTCTTTTGCATGTTCATGGATCAACGCCCTCTCCTCTTTAGTAAAGTCAGGCGAGAACACCAAATCACCATTGTTGTCAGATTTGGCATAATTCTCAACACATTTCCTAATTCGAGTCGTTAGATCGCCAGTAATCCCCTTTTCCTCAGAATGTCCGATCTCATCCCGACTGATAAACTGATCCACCGAAACAGGCTCAATGTCACCAGACACTTCTTCCTTACTCACATCCAACTCATCAGAATCTCCAGCCTGACTTCTCTTCTTCGACGCCATATTCTTTATTCCAAATGGTATTGCAATAATGAATTGAGAATGTATTTTCGGTTTACTACAAGCATTAAAATGGAATAGGCAATTTGCATAAAATGTTAATAAAATGTTTACTAAAACTCGTACATGCAATGTTCACTTTTAAATTGTATTCAACCTTTTAATAGATAGTTTATTGCAAACTCTGTTTTGGATTCGTTTTTATAAAATGAATACCATTTTTATACGCATCTTTAAGCTCCCTTCACCGATACAGCGGACTCGGCAGTGCTACACTTTTGGAGTTATCGGAAAAGTGTAATCAAGAGTTTTGCCTGGAAAAACACGTTCGAGAAGCAACCCGAAAGTCTAACCTCTCCACAACAAAAGATCTGCCTCTGTAGTATTCTTAACGAGGACAACACCATTCTGGTAATTATTTGCAATAATGTGAATTTGGGTCCCTGTTGTAGATAGACTTGGTAGAGTGGATATGTGTGTCATTTGAGCATGTTAAGATTGGTTCATGTTGTTGAGAGTCAAAATGAATATTCTTGTATATTGGTATATTATTGTAAATTTCATCTTTATCATACTAGTAGGATCTAGATCTAAGTTGAGATTAATCTTGGCAGCATTGTAGTTTACCAGCCTACCAGGCGCAGTTTATAGCTAAATTGGTGCGACTGCCGTATGGCTCTCGCTTCGCAGATGATTATGCTTCTTCGACCCTTGCATCCTCAGGTTATTTGTGTTAGGGTAGAGTAGGTTACCACAACTCTATCCTTAGCCCTTGGATCCCATTTCCGATCAAGCACCCACTTGCCATCATAAGGATGAGGTATCCGTTGCGGATCAAACACCCCTTCAAGATCCTTGAGGTCAGCTGTGAATTAGAGTATGGGTTAGCTATCTCCAATGTACATCTACTTAAATGTATTTTTATCTGTCACCAGGGTTCGGAACTTATAAAAATAATTCACAAAGGACAGATATTCTGTAATTAGTTGCCAAACATAACTTAAGTGTACTTGTAGAACATTTTCGTAGCTTCATCGTGAATAGAGGGCTTTGGGTGTAGCATAGTGGTTAAAGCTTTCTCTCATGAAGCTGAAGGCCCAGGTTAGATTCCCCACATGGGTACAATGTGTGAAGTTTCTGGTGTTTCCCGCCATGATATTGCTGGAATATTGCTAAAAGTGGCATAAAACCACAGTCACTCACTCGTCTGAACATGCTCAACAGAAGCATCTTCTTTGTTCAGGGACTCATCATCAAACAGCTGACCCAGCAAATATTCCGAGATGGAAGGCGAGTCAGAATTCAGTGTGGAGAAGTTCCGTGATCCTGACGAAACTCAAGCAACATGGCGCCTCAGAAAAGCATTCCTGGAAACCCACTACGACAAATTTCCAACTGATCGTCTTGTTTGTTTAGCCAAGTGTTTTATCAATGTAGAAGTTGACGGCTGCAAGTACCCAAACCAAGTAATGATACAGCTTGCTGAACTCAAGAGGGAACTGAATCTTTGACCTGTCATTTTAGATTTATGATGGATTTCATGAAAATATTAAAATACAACACAGAGAGACTTGTGAAAACTGGCATATGGCTTGTATAACTCGATATCTATAATTCCAGTCAAGATTGGAACATATGTCATGCTGATGTTTCACCATTTATAATAGAAATATTTAATTCATGGTTTTGTCCAATTTTATCCTTGTCATCAATATGCATCTTCTTTCCATTGCTTAAATTGTAATTTTAAAGTTTGATGCATTTTTATTACCATATACTTCTCCATCATCAACATCATCATAATCCAAGTTTCATCATGTTCATGTTATCTTTTCAACTCATTTTTACACATGCCTAGGTAACATTCTGTTGATGGGGAGATTGTTGTTTCATATTGATCAATAAATGAAGAACTATTAGCCTTAGTATCTGAAAATGGAAATCAAGATTTCACATAAAGCAAGTGATCCAAAATACTCCTTCGTTTGTTTTTTATGAGTAATTTTTAAAGCAACATATTTTCATTAGTCAGTTCCTACATAATCATCCATGGAACGGTAACAGAATTGCTAATCGCAAAATATTTTGCGATATGTATAGTATTGGGCATGTTGGGAGACAGACAGTGACATTGCTACAATTCAGAGAGCCTAAACACCTGATCACCATTTTGTATCGGCTTTCACAAGCTAGGGTTTGGGACCCAGTATGCCCTGGAATCCTGTTAGAGGACTTACAACCCGTACAGCAGGGGGATGTGAGATGGAGTGAAGACAAACGATGCAGTATCATTGAGACATTTATTCCTTTCAACGTACCATGTGAAGTACAGTGAGAGATGGATAAAGTTGCTGGTCGGTGGAATAAGTAGAAAACATCACATTCACAGTAACTGAAAATATTCAAATGGCATACATGTCTTAAAGCTGAGATGACCATTACAGTCATGTAAATAATGAACAGATGAAAGCAAGACAAATAAACATGATAAACATGCGAAAGGAATAATTTTATTTTATTTTCAGAAACTATTGAATGCATTATGAGTGACATGCTTTGACAAAGACACCTGTATGTTTGAAAAAAAGGACAAAATGCCTTCCACTCTATTTTTCCTGCATGAATTTTAAGTCTTGACACAATTCATTTTGTGATCTTGTTCACATAGTCTATAAATAGATGCTAACCATTTTGGGATAGCACCTCTGCTTAATTCCTGGTATTTCAACATGGTAAATGGAATAAATGATAAATGTGTAATCTGTTTTAAGTTGGCAACTCCTTTGGCATTGCACATCAGTTCAACACTTTCTTAAGTCCCCACATCAAATAGAACACAGAGAAAAAGAAAAACACCCAAAGATGTTTGCACATCAGGACTTCCACCATTAAATTAATGTTCATTCTTTTTATGACCCTCCAATAACCAGTTTTTATTTCTACTATTGCTGTTTCTCTTCCGCCTGTGAAAATTACTGGCTAAAACCATAACAATTCGAACTCCTACAATAAATGTCATTATGCGTACCAACATAAAAAAGTCAAATCAATCCTTTAGCCTTCATATTGCATGAAAACATAAGGCTTGTCATCATATATCATGCAAATCGGAAATGCATTCTTGTCTGAATATACCACAGATGAACCTTGTGAGCAATTAACAAAAATTAGAAAATGTACTGAAATGAAATAACAAGAGAAAAATAATGAAATACTAGTATATATACACTTTATACAATGGGAATCCAATTTGTATCTACATTCACATATAAATCTGGAAAAGAAACTTCGGAGAACATGAACCAGGCAAGTCATACCTTTGTGCTTAAAAACGATTCTCCCTAAACATAGAGTTATAACTCTTGAAAACTGGACAATCACCCAGATGAGTGAGTGAGTATGGTTTTACGCCGCTTTTAGCAATATTCCAGCGATATCACGGTGGGGAACACCACAAATGGGCTTCACACATTGTACCCATGTGGGGAATCGAACCCAGGTCTTCGGCATGATGAGCGAATGCTTTAACAAGACTACAAGACTACGCCACCGCCCCAATGAAGATGAAATCAGAAAGGAACATACGTAGAGGCTGAGTGTGAGCGATTGAGTTTGATTATATCAGAGCATGTCAGATTGATGGGAGTGGAAAGCCCAAAGACATGCAGGTCATAGATATTTACCACTTTGGTGAAAACCACCAGCACAGGTTCAGTGTTAACAAACCTAGAAACAGAATCAAGGGAATCGGAGGTTCGAACCCACAAAGGTTTATGGCTTGCCCAAGGGATGCAGCTCTGCATAGTGAGTTCAGGTGCCTTAGGATAAAAAGATTTGTCCCAGGGGTATTCTGTAGAAAGTTTGCAGGTCTTTCAGAGTGTAGCACCTGTGAAGTGGACTTGACATGTTTTAAATGTAGATATTTATTTTGCAATTGAAGACAATACAATGCAAACTTAAGAAAACATGTTCTTTAACTCCTTTTGAGTAGTAAATATATGAAGTCATGTTTTGTATGGTTCATGGAAAGTGGGTTGGAAACAAAAACTTGTTGACATTTATTATTTTCTAATTGTCTTTCAGTTTATAAGCCAGATATAACCATCAGCAGAATTAGACACACCTGAAGCATGCCACATCAGGGGATTACGACACACAGGCTTTGAGAATGTTTTTCCCAGTGATGAAACTTGACAGAATTCTCAATACAGTGCTTGTTCCATGAAGGTGGTGTCATATGGTGTCCTTCCATGAAGATGGTGTCCTACAATGGAGGTGATGTCCTACTACCATGAAGTGGTGTCCTACCATGGAAGTAGTGTCCTACCATATTGGTGGTGTCCAACCATGGAGGTGGTGTCCTATCATATTGGCGGTGTCCAACCATGGAGGTGGTGTCCTACCATATTGGCGGTGTCCAACCATGGAGGTGGTGTCCTACCATATTGGCGATGTCCAACCATGGAGGTGGTGTCCTACCATATTGGCGGTGTCCAACCATGGAGGTGGTGTCCTACCATATTGGCGGTGTCCAACCATGGAGGTGGTGTCCTACAATATTGGCGGTGTCCAACCATGGAGGTGGTGTCCTATGGTGTCCTACCATAGAGGTGGTGTCCCACCATGAAGGTGGTCTCCTACCATGAAGGTGGTCTCCTACCATGGAGGTGGTGTCCCACCATGAAGGTGGTGTCCTACCATGAAGGTAGTGTCCTACCATGGAGGTGGTGTCCTTCCAGAAAGGTGGTGTCCCACCATGAAGGTGGTGTCCTTCCAGAAAGGTGGTGTCCCACCATGAAGGTAGTGTCCTACCATGGAGGTGGTGTCCTGTGGTGTCCATCCATGGAGGTGGTGTCCTTCGGGAAAGGTGGTGTCCTATGGTGTCCTACCATGAAGGTAGTGTCCTACCATGGAGGTGGTGTCCTACCATATTGCTGGTGTCCTACCATATTGCTGGTGTCCTACCATGAAGGCGGTGTCCTGTAGTGTCCTACCATGAAGGTGGTGTCCTGTAGTGTCCTACCATGGAGGTGGTGTCCTACCATGGAGGTGGTGTCCTGTGGTGTCCTACCATGGAAGGTGGTGTCCTTCGGGAAAGGTGGTGTCCTTCGGGAAAGGTGGTGTCCTACCATGAAGGCGGTGTTCTACCATGAAGGTGGTGTCCTACCATGGAGGTGGTGTCGTACCATATTGCTGGTGTCCTACCATGAAGGCGGTGTCCTACCATGAAGGCGGTGTCCTACCATGAAGGTGGTGTCCTACCATGAAGATGGTGTCCTACCATGAAGGTAGTGTCCTACCATGGAGGTGGTGTCCTATGGTGTCCTACCATGGAGGTGGTGTCCTACCATATTGCTGGTGTCCTACCATGAAGGCGGTGTCCTACCATGAAGGTGGTGTCCTACCATGAAGGCGGTGTCCTGTAGTGTCCTACCATGAAGGTGGTGTCCTGTAGTGTCCTACCATGGAGGTGGTGTCCTACCATGAAGGTGGTGTCCTACCATGGAGGTGGTGTCCTACCATGGAAGGTGGTGTCCTACCATGAAGGTGGTGTCCTGCCATGAAAGTGGTGTCCTACCATGAAGGCGGTGTTCTACCATAAAGGTGGTGTGTTCCTACCATGAAGATTGCTTTAGCCTTCTAGCTATAATTCATGTTACACTTCAGCTAATGGAAACAGAAGACACTGAATAGTTGTTCAGTATCAAACACAGTTTCCCAGATAATACCCAAATAATGTTTTTTTTTACTTATGTACCAGAAAATATCAATTTTTTAGGAATAATTTTAAAGACTTCGAGCGAGTTAGAGATCTACACATTTTACATAATATTCCAGCCATATCATGGCAGCGCACCCCAGGAATCAACGTCATCCCTATGTGGGGAATTGAACCTTCAGTCTTCAGTGTGAAAAGCCAATGTAACCACTGTGCTACCTCACCACCCTTCAAGATTTTGAAGCCAAGGGAACCGATTCCCAAGTTGTAAATAAGTGCTCTGCATTCACAGTATGCCATCACTTACATGATTCCAGACCCATTAGTCCTAATACCTCACATTCTGTACAATCAGGAATGGAACACCTTCCTAAATTAAACAATACCACCAATCATTCTTCAATCAATCGGTTTCATATGAACGGTCCGGTACAGATTAACAACATTGTGAAACTGTTACAGTAAAAGGTTTCCTCTCAGGCACAATTCCCCCAAGGTAAGAAAAACCCCTGCAAGATAGCCTTATACTTACATTAAATCCCCTTCTTACATGATGATGAACCACGACTCAGCTCCAACAGTTACTGCTTAAAATTTACAATGCCTGGTAAACAATTGTTTTGTGTTCATTCATTTAATCCAATGATTTTTCTTCCAGTTGTTTGAAATATACAACACATCCATCACGAAACATCAAACATAACAATGTGCAAGAGAACACACAAGAACATGATGAAGTGATGGATACAAATAATAACTTAATGAATATGTTCATGAGTCTTTGTTTAATCCAACATAATAGTCATCATCCAATCATAATGATAAATTACAGTGCAGGGGAGTGTCGGGGTAACACTGTACAGCTGTTTACAAGTGTTGCCTATAACAACACATATATACTCATCAGTATAATTACAGGAACATGTATCACGGTGATCAATGAATAGGTAAAACTGATCACAATAAATTAAGCATAACGAAGAATGGATCTATCTATCAAACATATCTACAGAGCATAAACAGTCAGCTTTTAAAGTAGATCGGGAAGGATGAAAATTTTTTATGGATCATGGATAATTCATTTTAACTTAGGGAATATAAAACAAAACAGGTACAAAATTTGTATAATCAATTAATACAATTAATTTATCACCCACATGTGCCCTTCAGATGACCAAATGAAGGGCACCCCGGTAGCATAAGATTCCACATGTGCCCTTCTGATGAGTAAATGATGGGTACCCGGTAGTTTCAA